GTGGTGCTCGATTGCAGTGGTTGGCGTTTTTCTGTCACCATGGTTGTTCGTGCGTAGAAAGACACACAGAGATGGTGTCTGCAGAGAGAAGGAAAATGCCGGAAATATGAGATGTAGAGGTGGGGAAAGGGGTTTAATGGTGTTGGGTGTAGGTGGTGGTGGATTCAATTGTAAAGGAATCCATAGGAGTGTTTAGGGTTTTGAATTTTGAATTTTGAAATTTGAAATTGTGAGCGGGAAACTTGAAGTTAAACTATTTGAATTCTTGGGAAAAGGGATAATGGAATTCTCTGTAATATTGTTTCTACACTCAGTAAAATATGTTGTACATTATCCTAGTATTTTGCATTTTTTCAAAATAACCTATTTTCGTACACTTAGGTATAAATGACAACAATCAATTTTGTGCTATTACTTAATTTATGTCATTAAACTTTTATTTGTTTATCGTTGTAACAAAAATGCTTTTAACCATAAAACTGATTACTCGATTCGTTGGAAAGTTCATGAAGAGATAAAAATCTTTATGATCGAATAAATCTTTGAAACAGGTATATAAAGAATGTAAAGCAATACTCAAGAATGGATTTGAATATGTCGAATGATTAAACTTTCAATCCTCAGTAGAGCTCGATAAAGAACTTCCACTGTAGAGGATTCTTGGGTTACAAAAAGATAACTTCTATAATTACACCGTAAAACCCTAATCGATCAGTTACGTAAAAGATGCATGCAAGCATCTATAAATACACAAACCCTAGTAAACAAGATACGGATGGACAGGCCCATACCGCATAAAGGATGGGCTAAGAAGCGAGCCCAAGACGCAACACCAATAACCCAACAATTTCCCCCTTTGCATCAATTGAGGCGAGACTTCACTCCAGCTTGCTTGCCCCTGTAGCACTGGCTTTCTTGACTGTCTTGAACAGGCAGGGGATGATGGCAAGAAGGGTTTGACGGAAGTGAATGTACCAGTTTATCATATCATTGAAGTACTTTTTATCACTATCCGTGTTCTGCTTGCAACGATTGATTATACCCAGAAGATGCTCTAGACAAGTAGTGGTGTAGAGATGTTCGTCAGCCAAAGCAAAGAGGCATTTATGGCCTTCTGTTATAGTGAACATGACTGAGTTCTGTTTCGGGTCAATCTTTCCCATCTTCATTCGGTTTATATCGCTAGCAGAACCGACTGGAGTGATGATGGGCTTCTTCCTCAGGATATTAGCAATCTCTTGATCAAGCTTGGCCACCTACAAAATGTAGCAAACTAACATTCTCTTGAAATGGTCTATGACCGGACCATATTCAGCTTCATTGACAAGAAGAATGTTGTGCAGAACGATCCAATCGTGAGGGTTGAGGTTGGGAAGATCAGCCAGAGAGATAGAGTGCTCAGATTTTTCAGATCCCCTCAAGACCTTGAATCTGATATTAACAAAGTTACCTTCATGAACGGGCTTGAGTACCCGAACGTTGGTTATCTTATGTGCGCTCCAAGTTTGGTACTGAGGTTGAGCAGTCCTCAGGTAATAGTCTATAAGCTCCCTATCCACCTTCGGGTGAGGATGGGGAACTTCAGCTATATGAGCGAACGCATGGAAGATGAAGGCCTTTCGGGTCAGGGGCATGTCGAACTGGGAATCGACTGCGTTGACACGGTCTAGTGAGATGATCGGTTCTAGCCATAGAGTGCAAGGGGACTCAATGGCTTCTTTGATGAGCACCTCGAGGGTCCAAGGGGTGTGTTTTTATGCGCAACTATTGGGTGATTATTTGGAGTTTGGAATACTCTTAATCATTCGTTGCTGCTCGGATTGTATGGTCTCACATCCTAGAGCCCAAATTGAAGAGTTATGGAAGAATTGAAGATTGAAGTTCGTTTCGAGATGTGTCACTTTTGAGACTCGAACCGCGTAGTGCTTGATTTTGGAAGATTTGAAGTGGGTTATTCATTCCTAACTTTGAGGGGGAGAATGTTGGGGTGCAAAGTTCTTCATTCGTGACTTTTTAAATGTTTGACTTTTGTAAACCCACATGCATGTGGTTCTTATAAACATCAACACTTTATATATATATATATATATATATATATATATATATATATATATATATATGCGCTGCGGTTCGGTTTTTTTGCGGTTTTTGCAAGAGTAGAAACCGCACCGCACCGAGTATTTTCGGTTTTTGCAAAATTAAAAACCGCACCATCGGTTTTCATTTCGGTTTCGGTTTTTCGGTTTCAGTTTATGTGGTTTTTTTGGTTTGCGGTTTGGTTTTTGCTCACCCCTATAAGGAAGTATTCCCAAAGAAGAAAAAAGATTATGACAGAAGTTTCAAACTGATTTGTCACATGAATAAAAAATTTTGATGAAGCTTGAAAAACTTGGGTTTTATCATTCAAAATAAAGGTCCATGTTAACCTAGAATAGTCATCAGCAGTGGTGAGGAAGAAAGACTTCATGTAATAGAATTAGAAGATCTTGTAAGTAGGTGCAGAGTTGGTCCCGGAAAAATTAAAATGCTTTTTTTTTTTTACCCTTTTAATTTCTTCTTTACATCATTTATATTTAAATTAATACTTTTTTAAAACTTGATGGAAGAGTTCCCAAAAAATTTGATGAGAAGGGATAAATGGAGAAAAGGAGTTGGTGATGAGTTTTCCTGTAACTAAAGGTGGTGGTCGGAGAAGACAACCAAACCCAGTTGCTCAAATGGGGGGTGGCAAGAAAAGAGTGATTAGAGATAAACCGATCAAGGGATTTTGGAAGGTGAGTTAGAGATTTTGGGATACCAAATCTTTTTTTTAGCTTTTATACTAAAAATGATATTGTACTTAATTTAAAAAGCTCAAAAAAAAAAAAAAAAAGTTTGAAAGGTAAAACAACCTTTTAACCCCCTTTAACAAATTCAGTTAGGGTCCTACTAATTAGACCCCAGATTTTCTTAGAGGACCTCTCATTAATGATTTTTTAGGCATCAATTTCCGTGCATTTATAATATTAATGGCTTTTATGATTACTAAATTTTTTTTTTTTAAACTCGTATTTATCATTTAATTCCTATAAACTTTTTATTTATTATATATTTTATTCTTTTATAATCAAATAATAATACAAACATGTCAATGTTTTCTATATATTTTAATATTTATATAAACCAAAAAATTAAAATAAAAATAATATTAAATATTTAAATGAAAATTAAGTATTATTATTATATCGTATTTATTATGCTTTCATATAAAAATGATTTTAATAAATTGCACTAAAAACCAAAAATAAATTAAACTTTTTTGTTTAAAATATTTTATTTTGTATATTTGAAAAAAAATAAGTATATTTTTATTTTAATACTTATTTATAAAAATAATATTCTTTTTCTATAAACAAATCTTTTTATTAAGCCATTTTATTATGTAATAATTAGTTTTATTTAAAGTAAAATATAAAATAATCATAAGGGTCTAATATTATGTAATAATAATTAATAAAAAGATAATTATTTGGTAATGATTACCTTATTTTAAGAAAAAAGTTAAAGTAATTATTAAAAGGTCCTTTAAAATTAGTTTTATTTAAAGTAAAATATAAAATAATCATAAAGGTCTAATATTATGTAATAATAATTAATAAAAAGATAATTATTTGGTAATGATTACCTTATTTTAAGAAAAAAGTTAAAGTAATTATTAAGGGTCCTTTAAGAAAATAAAAGGGTACTGTTATTCCTACCCTGAATTTTAAAACCTACCCCTCTTATTATTATTTTTCTGGTGAGAAATTCTCAAATTATTTATTAACCGCAGCTTTATCATATATTTGACCAATAAATGGAAGTTGTTACTTCCATGAAATTGAAAATATACATGCCATCATATATTGAAAAGTGTGCACCACTTAATTCGGATATAAACCATACTTCAGACATAAACCGTCACTTAATTAAAAATAATAGTAATTAGTTAACAATATACAAAAGGGTTGTTTTTAAACAATAAACTAACGTTGGAGACCTTCACCCGCCACTAACCAACACAGTGACAATACGCCACCACTAAACATCGTCGGCAACGCTACCGCCGTCTATATCGAGAAAGAGACAGAATAAGAGGTATATCCGGCTACCGTCGGGCCGCCGACCACCAATCGACATTCAGATCGACCATCAGACTTCACCACTCTGAATATCGTGAATCACTATCGGATCTACAGGTGCACCACTCTGAATCACCCATCGGACTTCACAACCGCTTTTCGCCGCACACGACCAACATCAGCGTCGGCTGTTGCTGGTTTTCCCCCGCGATCATCGGCGAGCACCACACACTAGTTTGAGGATAAGAGAAAAGAGGGATTGGATGATAAGAGAAGAGAGGGAGTCGCGACTATCGTCCTCTACCAACAACCACTGATAAATGCCCTAAACAAGGAGGAACGAGAACGACGCAAGAAAAAACACCGATGGCTCATCTGTTTATCACTCTTTTTCTCTCCATTCAAACATGACGACTAGGGTTTATAACATAATCAATTTCATATCCTCATATTTTAACATTACAGCCTATCAATATCGATAATATTCCATTTACACCTTATAACATTAGATTTCTTTTAATTCATATGTACTTTCATATTGGGAGATTTTTAATGACAAAATTGCAAATTTGGTCCCTGTGGTATGTCCAAACTAGCATGTTTGGTCCAAAATGGGTTTGGCTTGCAAAGATGGTCCAATAGTTTCTATTTGTTGCGAGTTTAGTCCAATGGCTTAACAGCCGTTACCAAGCTCCCGTTAATTTACCCATGCCCCTCTCACTTAAGGGTATTTTAGTCCATTAATCCCTGTAACCGTTCCCGCTAAAGCTCAATAAAAGCAGTTCGTCTCCTCCTCCTCCTCAATAAAGTAGACCGTCGTTCTTTACCAAGATCAATAAAAGCCCTAGACACAAAATCAGTTCTGTTAGTTAAGCTGCGATTTGTAGAGATTATCGGTGGATGAACATAACAATGTGGCACGTAAGGTTGTTAAACACACCCTTCAACCCCAAGGTTGTTTATGGTATGTAATTTGCCCTTTTGCATCTTTTGATTTCTTGATTTTTTTTAAGTAAGTCCAACTGAGGTGTTTTTTTTCTTGTTTTGAAGATGGACACCCAACATTGTTTACCATTAAGTTGTACCATGGAGGTGAGTTCACCAAGTACCCTGATGTTCGTTACATTGATGGAACTGTAAACTATGTTGACATGGTAGACATAGATGAGTTTTCAGTTCATGAGCTCGATGCAATCATGAAGGGTTTTAGATATGGGGTTCCTCCTGTTATATACTACCATTTTCTTGTGCCTGGTGGAGACTTCCACTTTGGTCTTCGCCCTTTAGGAAATGATCAAGATGTTGCAAACTTTTCTCAATATGTCAGTGAGCACAAAGTGATGAAGGTATACACAGAGCATGGTGAAACAAGACTACTCACCTATTTCTTGAATCCTAAGCCTGTTACCAAGGTTACCCTTGTACAGTTAGATGAACCACATGAGGATGTGCAACACATTGATGAAGCTCCTGATGACCAATCAAAGGAAACACCTATGATGACTAAACCTACTGATAATTTAGTTGATGTGGTTCCCACTCAAGCAAACCAACCTGAAATCCAAGTTAATGAAATAGTTCAAGTCGTATCCTTATCACCTGGATATAATAGGAGAAGGGGTATGAGCAAAGACTTTGGTGAGGCAGCTACTGATTTTGATATTGGACTCTACCAACAAATACTACAAAGCAATGTTGATGGAGTCAATGGCACTAACATGCATGATGTCAATGAACCTCAGATGGATGAAGAAATCCAACCTCAAATGGATGAAGAAAACCAAGCTCAGATGGATGAAGAAAACCAACCTCAAATGAATGACTTTTGGGATTTTGACTATCAAACTGATGCTTTTGTCCAAGATGGAAGTGAAAACCAACCTCAGTCTAACATGGATAGTAGTGGAAAAGAAAATGTAAGTGAGGTTGAAAGTAAAGAAAGAAGTGAAACAGAGCAGGAAGATGATAGTGATGATAGTGATTATTGGGTGGATGAAGATAATGTAATTGAAGATATTGAAGTTGATATGAGGGATTTTAACATGAGCATTGATACAGAAGTAGAGTTCTTAGATAAAAGGGCTAGGAATCCTAGACAACATGAGAGTGATGAAGAAGCAGATGAGTTAGATGTCATTGACAATGATGCTTTTGATTCCATGGATGAGGATTCTGACCAGGACAGGAAGAGAAGAGCAGTTTTGAAACAACTAAGTAAGGAAAAAAGTTGTTCTTTAGGTGAGGTTCATAAGTGTCATTTTAAAAATAGGTCAAAAGTATAACAGTAAGCAGGAGTTGAAAGAGAAAATCAAAATGCATGCATTGGAAACAAAAAAGAATATTGCATTTAAAAAAAATGACAAATCCAGATTGAGGGCCATATGTAATGGAGTTGTGGCATTTACTAATGATGGAGTTGGTGGACCTACCCAAGCTGAAAAAATAAAGGAAAATTAAAGGGAAAAGTAAAGAAAAGGACAAACAAGGTGGTACAAGTCAGGAAAAAGCAGATTCTTCTTGTCCTTGGATGTTACATGCCTCGAGGTCTACAGATGCAACAGCTGGTACATTAAAACATATGAAGACAACACACTTGTATGAATACAAGGAAGGTGAGAGCTGCAACAGCGAAGTTTATGTCCAAACAAATCATGGATCAAGTAGAATCCAACCCTACTATCCCAGTTAAAGCTCTCCAAGAACAATTACAGAAGAAGTATGGAGTGGGCTTCTCAATCCATAAAGTTTTTAGAAGCTAAAGCAGATGCAAAAAAGATTGTAGTGGGTGATTACAAAAAACAGTATGAAGTTCTGAGAGACTATATCCTTGAGTTGCAGTCAACCAATCCTGATACACAGTCAAATTAGAACTTGGAGATGTTTCAGAATCTAATTTGGTGAATTGCACTTCAAGATGTTTCAAAAGAATTTATGTTTGTCTAGGGGGATGAAGAAGGGATTCAAAGCTTGTTTAAGAGATTTCTTGGGCTAGATGGGCTCATATGAAAGGCCCTTATCCAGGCCACATCTTAACTGCAGTTGGATTAGATTCCAACAATGGCATATACCCACTTGCATATGCCCGTCGAGAGATTGAAAACTGCGAATCTTGGAAGTGGTTCCTTGAATGTCTTGGTGATGACTTGGATCTACATGCTATGTCTAATTTCACTTTTGTTAGTGACAGACAAAAGGTAATGGTTGTTTATTTATTATTTTTAATGTTTATTTTGTTAATCATGTGTAATTTGTTGCCAGGGTTTGCTACAAGCAGTTAGTCAACTGTTCCCATGTGCTGAGCATAGGTTCTGTCTCAGACATATACATGAGAACATGAAGAAACAATGGAGAACTAAGGAATATAAAGATCACCTTTGGGATTGTGCCACAGCTACAACAGTGCCAGAGTTTAACCATTTCATGCACCAATTCAGTTTATATGACAAATCAGCATATGAATGGTTGAAGTCAATACCACCACAACATTGGGCAAAAGCCATTTCACAGGTAAGCTATTATGACCCTTTTACCCTTTTACCATTTTACCCTTCACATAACATTATGACACTTTTACCCTTTTTCTATACAGGGAGAGCAACCACAGACATGCTGTTAAACAACCTTTGTGAGGTGTTTAATGGCAAGCTAGTTGATGGGAGAGACAAACCAATTATTAGCTGCTTGGAGTTTATTAGGGAATATATGAATGAAGAGGATATGCAATGTCCTCAAGGTGCAACAAAAGTGTTTAGGCCCACTCACCCCAACAGCAACAAAGATCATGGAGAAGAATGAAGCAGCTGCTACTCAGTACATTGCAGAATGGTGTGGTGATGAAAATACCAAGTCAAAGGCCCATGGAATGATCAACATGTTGTTGATATGCATGAAAGGGTATGCAGCTGCAGGAAATGGGAATTAACAGGTATCCCTTGCAGACATGTGATTTCTGTGTTGTATAACAAAGCAGATCATGGTGAGTGTGTACAAGAGCTCCATACTTATGTCCACAAGGTGCACTGGCTACAAACTTGGAAAACTGCATATGGGTACAAGGTGGAACCAATTAAAGGTCGGGCACTGTGGCCTAGAAGTGAGTGTCCAATGCAGATCACACCTCCCCCACACCGTAATCAACCTGGGAGACCCAAGAGGAAGAGAAGGCAATCCATGGAGGAGAAAAGTCAAAGCAAGAGTCAAAGTCAGAGTCAAAGGTCAGATGTTGGTCCCAGTGAGATTCATGGTCATGGTCCACATGGTAGTGGGAAACTAACAAGAAAGTTTGTTAGTGTGACTTGTAGTAAGTGTGGAAACAAAGGGCACAACTCCAGGACATGCAAAGGTCAGGGAGGGACTTGATGGTCTATGTTGGTTTTATCTTTTGGTTTGACTGTATTGAACAACTTTGGTTTGATTCCTAGATGCAGGATGTCTTTTTGTTGCAATAACTTTGTTTTCAATTAACTTATGACATGTATTTTGAAGATGGTAATAGGTATTATGTCTTTAGTATGCTTTTTGTTAACTACATATGGATGCATTATATGTTATCTTTAGAAGGTTATGTATGAACAATAGAACAAATCCATAATTGGTCAATAGATACCAAATTTTCATTAACCATTACTTTGCATTACAACAATGTTCCACATTAGCAAAAAATACTTAAACCAGACACATATACCCCTATCCTATTACAAAAGATAACCACAATCAACCTGTGGACTTACAACAAGAACACAACACAACAACAAAAAAAATCCAACTATAGACTAGGTAATACTTCAACATAGTTGCTTGTTCTTTGATCTTCTCCATTGCTTTTTCATGCTTGCTTGCTTGTTCTTTTATATCATCCATTGCTTTTCGTAGCTTATTGATTGTCCTAAGCAGCCCTGGTATTATAACTTTGGAACGAGCACACATGGGTTCATCATACCACCCAATAAACCCACATGATGAATTCTTGAAAAAAAAGAAGAAAGAAACATTAGATCATCAGGGAGTAGTCTTCAAAATAAAGTTTAACACACTTACCGGGTCAGGACATCCCCAAAATTGGCGCCCTGGGTTGTTATCTGTCCACGATGTCCGAACTATCGCCCACTTTCTGCAGACGCACATCACCATTGTCGATGGAGAAGATGAAATCACAGGGGGTGATCGATGGAGAAGATGAAATCAGAGAGGGAGTGATAGTTAGGGCTTGTTGCTGGAGACGAGAATAGAGACGTTGTAGTCTCTTTATGGACTAAATAATAATAAAATAATAAAGGGGCTAGATGAATGGACTAAAATACCCTTAAGTGAGAGGGGCATGGGTAAATTAACGGGAGCTTGGTAACGGCTGTTAAGCCATTGGACTAAACTCGCAACAAATAGAAACTATTGGACCATCTTTGCAAGCCAAACCCATTTTGGACCAAACATGCTAGTTTGGACATACCACAGGGACCAAAT